GAAACATCGTCCGGGGGGTCGAGGAAGTTGGTTGGAGGATCCCAGCAATACTGTAGAGGCTTGAGAGTGTTACTCTTGAGGGCCTGGGCTAGTCGCAGAGCTGTCTTGAGAGTCTCTGGCTGAAAAAAAAGAGGTAAATGTCAGCATATAGATAAGGGAGGGTTGGTTGAAACGTGGGAGAATTTACATCAGTGTTTAGAAGAGCTTGTAAGTCGTCCATTTTGGGTGTTGCATGCATGTAAGATTACCAGGTGATAGATTCGGGTCTGTGGAATCGAATGGTGGTGGGTGGTTGGAGAGTTGTGGCTTGCCTGTGAGAGAAGTAGCGGGGAGAAGAAGAAAAGCATGTGGTAGCAGTTTTCATGTTTCGGTTTCCGACGGATGCGGATGTGAGTGCCTGACTTTTCACACTCGTTCACCAAGCTTACAACTTTTCGCGCGCCGTGCCTCACTTTTCATACCCGTTCACCAAGTTTTCAACTTTTCACACGCAACGCGCCTCCAGATCACCAACCCGTGCCTCACTTTTCATATCCGTTCACCAACGTACCAACGTGTTTTATGGGGACTCGGTGGCTCGGTGGGCGGCGCTCGCCGCGTTCTTCCCAACCGACAGTCTGTATCTCATCACCGTCATCGTCATCGTCATCTTCATCGTCATCGTCATCTTCATCGTCATCGTCGGTACGCTCCTCGCCGATCGCCGATGGCCGTTCTCATGTCCACGGTGCGCTACGGCTGCATCCGATCGCTTGTCGATTTCGAGCATGACCTCTTCATCCTCTTGCAATCTTACCACGACCACCTACCCCTGCCCCCACTCGCCGTACCCGTACCCGTCGCCCCCACGTGGATCTCCCCACTCGCCAAGCGTTACGGACCTCCGCTCACCCTCACCCTCACCCTCACCCTCCCCCCCTCTCTCTCGTCTCCCTCCGTGGTCGTCCGTCTGATGCAAGTCAGGTATCGTATCTTCTACCTCTCTTATCCACCCTACTCAGAGCTCACGACCAGGTTGCAACTCTTGATGCGTACCGTGGACACGATCTTGACCGATGCTGCTTGTTCTTTGGATGATCCCTTCCGACGTGAATTGTTTGATGTCGCCACAGGGTTGGTTTCTCTCCCTCCCCTCTCTTGTCTTTTTCTTTACCTTGCCACCATCCATCACACACACCCTCTCTCTCTCTCTCGTCTCGCACCATCACCTAGGTTCTGCTCTGCTCAATGTTGGGATCGGATGGGATCGGGCCTGACTGACTTTCAGTCTCGAAGCCGATTTCCAAAGTTTATTAGCCCATTGTCTATCATCCTCCCTTTCCATCCATTTCGATTCTCGACCCTTGGAGCCCGTTCCAATCCCAGATCCGACTCGAAATTCAAATCCACTTCCACTTGCCGTCCCCGTCCCCACCCCTCCCCCTATACGTATCCGTCCCACCTCGGACACCTCAAAAGGTCATCTCTTCGGTTTTTTAACGTTACATTCCGTCAATCTTCCCGAATGGTCTTCTCTCTCACCCCCCGAGATTGAAAAGGAAAGAGTGTTCACATCCGCCGCCATTAGAACAAACAAACAGACAGAAGGTACTTGTCTTCTTCTAGGAACAGCAAGGCTCGTCAACGTGAGTCGACTTGCTCCGGTGGGGGTGGGGGTCTGAGACAGTCTCAAAGTTTTGACATTGGCTGACACTCAGTATTCTTGTCAACCCAATTGCCGACTAAAATCTGATCCGTCGGGTTGTCCGAGGTGGTCTCTGAAGTCGAATTGCACCATACGTTCAGACACCGCTTTGACGAGATCTTGTCCGACTGTGATGGGTGAGTCGACTCGTCTTGTTCCTTCTTGATCACCGTATCATAAGATACCGACACGGGTCTTTGATTCTTTGTTTTGTGTTGTGGGCCACTAATCTCTTTATCGTCATTCTACTAGTAGACTCATGCTCTTTTTCTCACACACTTTGCATCGTGTCGCCGTCGTATCTCGATCACCGCCGAAATTTGAGAGATATTCAGTTGATTGGTTCTCTCGCTGATGCTCACACCTCTCCGTTCGATCCTTTGAGCTGATGGTCAGGAGGTGGAACGAATCATGATGTTGGCAGGTGAGTTTATCCCCGATCCTCATCAAAACCCCGGAGTAATGTCATGAGGGTTTTGCTTTTTGCTCGTCCTTGTTCTTATTCCTAAACTCGTCCTTATCTCGGGTCTTCCCGATCCGAACTAGTCTAGTCCTTCTCCTAACTCTTTCTCATCCTAACCCAGCCGCCCTTATCATAACCCTTTCCCCATCCCAACCAGTCGTTTATCCCAACTCTTTTCTCATCCTAACCAGTCCTTTATCCGAATAAAGTTCCCTCGACTCGCCGGTCGAACCCTTTCTCATCCTAATCAATCCTGGTCCTCACTTTTTCCTCACCTCAAACTCTAATATGAGCGAGCCGATGTTGTGACGGACCACGTGAATCGATACAAAGACATGGACAAAGATGAGCAGAGCTGACATTCTTCTTATACAGTCCTTGTAAATGGTGCGGTCGTATCGAAGATTGAAAACCCCCTTGTATATAGCCGTCGGAACGGAAAGAGGTTGGAATGGTGTACGTACGTACATGACAGGCAAGGTCAATACTCTGTCTCGTGGATGTTATCAATACATACATATACTTGTATGAATATAGAGTGGGATATGACCGACTCACACAATCTGTACATAGGACGAAATGCCTCGGTAGTCGGATCGCCATCAGCTCCTGTGATACCTCGATACACACTCTTATGGAGTTGAATCTCTCGGCTCGACAGAGGGTATATACAGTTCCCCAAGTAGACGCACATGCGTTCTTAAGCAAACCTATTCCTATAGCGTTCGGTATCTTATGGTATTGACGTAGCAGTGTTGCTGACTGACCCAGCTTCTCGGCAACTGCTATATCCCGATTTGCTTTCATCTTCTCTCCTCAGTGTGGCAATGTCGTCTCCATGAGACTTATGAGTTGATGTTGCTGAATGGGGCACTGATATTGAAGATTTGATGCGCCGGATAAGACTTAAGAAATCCATGTTGGCAGGAGAGGTTAGAGGACCAATGGATGTATCTAATGCGGTTGCTAGCTTGCTACGATCGACGGTACGCTCTGTGGATCCTAGTGCTTTGTCATTGAATGCTTTATTGGATGGTCTCGACCGGTGTGATCATGGACTCGATAATCGTGGAGTGTGCTGTACTTGTACTGTACGACCGAGGATGCTTTGGCTGCGGCTCCTCAGTACTGGGATCAAGTCATGGCTAGCTCTAGCATATCGTACGTCCATCCGAATCTACTCGACGATGTTGAGCTCGCTCGAATGTACTGTTACCTATTGTATCAAGCTAGAATGCACCTGTATGACAGCTGTCCGGCTATTCGCAACCATGCTATCATATGTCTTGATCTGCCGTTATTACAAGGATATTGTAGGGTTCTTGACCGTGGTATATCATCAAATTGTGATATCATTAGTAGCGAGGCGGTAATATCGGATATTATACAAGTAGCGTCGATGGACGGATCGGTTAGATACAGGTCTGTACGGACTGGTAGTATGGCGATCGTTAAGTCCTGAGGGTACCGAAGTCTAGAATCATGCTACCGTGTGGTACCGCTGGTAGATCGTGGCTAATGTGCGTAACGGGGCTATCGACTAGAGCTTATGTCCGATGACTTGAATTCAACGCCCGAAATCCCACGAGTAGAGTCATAAAACCTCACTGGCTACATGATCTGGATTTGTCGTCATTGGCCTGGTATAACCGACATGTTAGAGCAATAAGAACGCCTATGGATAGGTGTCTTGACTGCCATCGAATACTGACGCTGCTTCGAGGCATACTAGTTAATAACATTTAAATCTGTACAGTCGCAAGGTAATGCGTAGTAGTGCTATCATGCGAGTAGCCGATAAGGCATCGAGTTCTAATCAAGCGAGTGGGCCAGTTGCGCGCAATACTTCTGCTAACGCGTATGATGAAGCATCTGATATACTTTGCTAGTGGTGATGATCATGCATGGACCACTGAGAAGATATACTCATTGTCCAACTCTGTAATAGCTAACATTCCTGATGAAATACTGAGTCGTAGCGAATCGCTAGTATCGTCATCATGGAGCAGTCTCCCAAGTCCACCCCGTGGAGTGCAGCCTCTATATTTAGTATATGCCATGTTAGGATTGCCTGGCTATACTATGTGCCCATCCGTGTGTAGTATATGGAGTAGCTCTCACGTATCATACCAGAGGTTGTGGAGGCTCATATCGACGTTGTCTGGTCACGTAGTGATAGGATCTAGCCTTAGGATCCTTAGCTCCGGTAGAGATGGATTAGGGTATTCGAAATCGCACGGGATTGCTATGAAGACTCATGTGCACGGAGTGAGATCAGTTACTGAGGATCCGGTATTGTCGGGACTGATAGATGGATTGTGTATCGATGATGAGCTTACTAATTTACACGGGTCCTAATGACATAGACAGTGCGAGGAATCTTACATCATCAGATAGTAGTACCGAGGTATCCAATACTGACCAGGCTAATTCGAGTGCATGGGTGCAGAATGGAAGCCGTCCTGGCATGATTATAGAGTGGCAAGAGCCCAAATATGAGTATACAGATCGTACTATCTTGTACAGGATGATTGGAGAAGCTGTTGTAGATACAGCAGTCCGGAGCTTCGAGGTTTGAACGTAGCAAACCTTTAAAATTACAGTGCTACGATCAGATTCGGGGTATTAGTATGGCACCTGACGACTTCTTGGATCTAGAGGGTGAGGCTAGGCTTGGAACGTACGGTACTGTTCTGAATACCCTGAGAGATGTTAGTAGTAATCAAGAGGCTACACTACGGATGTTGAGACAGGCTGAGATCGATAGAAGAGTCATGAGATCGGATATTGGATCGGTAGCACTACTTACTAATGCTCCAATTGGATCCATGAGTAGACATAACATTAATCATCCTACTAATAATGTTAGTCATCCTAGTACCACGGTTCTACAAACATATAATGCTAGCTTAGACCTTACTCCCCGTTCTTCCACTACTCCTCTTGGCGATGTTGATATCGATGCTCCGGATGTTAGTTAGCCGAGGTTTGTGGACCGTCGGTCAGTAGAGAAGAAGAATCGACGTTCGTGACACATACTAGCAAATTCACGCTCTTTTTCACACACACAGTCTCTACTGCTCTCAAGGATCATTTTCATACCGTTCTCACTCTTTTACGACTAATTTTGACCAACTTTGGGCCCCTTTGCCTTCTCAACCTACCCCCTCCCTGACTACCCCCATCAAATCGCTATAACTCTTTCAATCTTGACTGTGGTGTCTTCTCCGTCTCTCGACGCTCTTCTCCTGGTCTCTGCGCGTCTGTGAGTACCATTTGGTCCTTGTGGTGTGTAGTCTCCCTCACCCGTCTGACACAACCCTTCGCATTCTGCTCTCTTCCCTTTGTGTGGACGCTGGCTCTCCTGGTCCGGTAAGTATTCATCCCTCCCACTCGCCCAAATACCACCTTGCACTTTGACGTCTTCCTACCATAGGATTCTCCGGCAACTACACCTGTGCTTGTGGAGTCGGTCTGGCGAGAGCTCCTGGCTGACTAAAACTCCTCACAACGTCCATTCGTTTCACAACGTCCATTCGTTGACTCTATCCTCCATGCCATCACCCACCGTCTTCGCCTGGGCCATCTCCGTACCAGAAGCCGCTCCTCCACTGGTACGCTTCCCACCACCACCCGTGAAAGAGAGCACGTCTTTCTCGACATGTTCACCAGGCTGGAAAAGGTTGACATCACCCCTTTTAACGCTGCGTCCTCCAGCGATGAGATCTGAGATCTGCGGCACCAACCAACCAACCCGCAGACGGCTGCTTTTGTCGCCTCTCCTCTTGGCACGGTACCAAAAGCTAATGGAAAACTTTGTACTATCACCCGGGACTTATGCTTGAAGGGCGAAATCGACAAGAGCTGGATTACTCTGAGATACAAAGGGTCGAACGCGACGGATCACGACGACTCGCTGTCCGTAGAGGCGCAGCTAGGCTACTTGGGCAGCCAGCCTCGACCGGAGCACATGTCAGTACGTACGTTTTTACTCCGATTCCAACACCAGCAAACAAAGCTTCACGTCGAACGAATTCCCCTCACGGTCTCACACTTGCCCTTGAGGAACCATTTCACCCACCGGCATCCCCTGTCTCCCCCCCCCCCCCCCAGATACAATAACAAGTGAAGACTTGGGAGCTAACAACACATGATTACGCTCGACGTCTTTCCTTCCTCTCTCATCCATTATTCGCTCCAGGTATTCACCCACAATCCTCTCTCCTCCAAACCATTTATTTACCTGTCACCCGACAATTCCTCCCTCTCTAAACCACTTTCAACTCACATCACCCTACCTCTCGCCCTTTCCTCAAATTTCTGCACGACATGGCTCGATTTCCTCACGCTCGACTCCCGCCAGAAGGCTCTTTGATCCTTTTGACGAGTGACCGAATTCCTCTCGTTCGGCCTCACCGGGTCCACGTCCGTCGGGATGACCAAGGAAAGGAAGATTAGTATATCAGAAGTGACTAGTATTGGGAAGAATCTTTTCGTTGGGAGCAAGGAGAAAAGATTGTAAAGTTAAATGTACGGACGTACTGGTCAGGATTTGATAGGGTCGTCAGTAATTGAGGATTTGATAGGAATCGTTAGTCGTCGAGGTTTGATAGGGATCGTTGGCAGTTCAGGATTAGTAGGGAGGAATCGTTTGTAGCGACGTGCAAGGTTTATGTGGAATGGAATGTGTATCGTGCATTTTTGGTGTGACCAAATCCAAGATCGATGAATGGTATGTACGTATGTGACACAACCCCCTATCCTATCGATTTTAGCATTCAACCAATATTGATTTGATTGATATTTTCCGACTGACTCGACTCGTTCCATCTTTCCATTTCAGCAAAACCCAACTCGTCCCATACTGGACTCTTCCGCGCCCGTCAGTCTTATCCTGCACCTTGCTTGCACCACCCTGTCGAGAGAAAGAGGAACCGATCGTAGGTAAAAGGAGAGAAAAGGAAGAAACGATATGACGAAGGAAAAAGAAAAAGAAAACTCTCACCCCCGCCGCCGGTGAGGACCAAGGAAGCCACAGTGATCCTCTGATACCTACCTCCAACTCTAACCCTATCTCCCTCTACCCAGCCTGAATACCCACCCTGCTGCTCGTTTAACCTATACGCCTCCTCGGCGTCCATCTCGACCCATAACCAACAAAAGTTGCTATCGTTCAGAGGACACTTGAAGGTGGAAAACCGACAGGAATCGCATTCCGTCACGGAGACGACGTCGGCTATGGGTCTGGATTGGGTGAAGATTGGATGGAGGGGTCGAGGGAGTGAGAAAACGGTGATGGGAGCTATGGGACAGACGATGCTTGGGTGACTGGACTGGAGTTAGTGCATGTCGGTTGGGATGAGAGGGTAGGGAAGATGGGAGGATGACAAGGTAGCGGTGATGGGAGGATGACAAGGATAGTAAAAGTGATAAAGATGGCTTGGATAACAAAGAACAAACTCACCTCCAAAGTGTACCGTCATCAATAGGAAGACGTGAGAAACTACCGAAGTGATCTCGTCCATCGCCATCGCCATCGCCATCGCCACCGACATCGCCATCGCCTTCCCCTTCCCCTTCCCCTTCCCCTTCCCCTTCCCCTTCCCCACCCGGCGACCAGTTCCAACACACCCAACCACGACGAGCTAGCTGGCGATAAAAGCGCCAGGTCATCGTCGTCATCTCGTCGAATCACGAATGGATCTGGCCGGATGGAAGTGACTTGGGCGTTACGACGGGATCAAAATGATCTACAGTATCGCCGCCGCGTTATCTCCGATGTCCTGACGTGGCATTTCGAAGGGTCAAGAGTGAAAGTAACTGCCACATTGGAGCGCTATGGCTATTTCCGCGTATTCCCTCGTCACTTCTACATCCTCGTCATCCTCCATAGATCAGGTTCGTCTACTGCTCACTCTCCTCAGGACGTCCAGGGTGTCGATCTACAATTTTACGTGATGATGTATCGCGGCTGTGATC